TTTTCCCTTTCTAAATGAAAAATTGAAAAATTTTAGAACACCCGAAGACACACCCACACTCTCCCTCCCATATAATTTTCCGTCATAAACAGTCAAGATTTTACCTCGCCTTTGTGCTCCACACGCTTTGTCTGATAGAACCCAGAACGAATGATCTGTGAACCAGAGATATGAAGTAGAAAAGCTTAATTGTAAAAATTCGAAGTATAAAGAATGCGGCCAAAAACTGATCAATCAATGCCCAAAGAAACACGAATTTAATAGTAGCAAACAAGAATTTGAATTTGCGAACTGGAAGTCACCTCTCCAGCACTTTTAGCAGCATCCACTGCCTGGACCAATAACTCCTCCAGTGAATCTGAAATTTCACAAATCCAATCAAGAAACATGTACATGTACATAAATAGATACAGGTATATATGCACTCATTTGTGAATGAATATGCATACACACGTATCGAAGTGAGATTAACCGTTAACGGGCTCCTACCTTTTTGTGCCATTTTTTTTCTTGAAGATTGGTTTATGAGTAGAAAAGAGGATTGTGTTATAACTTAGATACCCGAGGATTTCAGTAATCACGGAGCGCACAAAACACAAAAGAAGAGAGGCCAAGTATTTATAGGGGATTTGTGGACTCCAAATGCCACTACATTTACTCGAATTCACACAAACAGTTATATTCAGCCCCAGTTTGACATTCATTCTCTTCCCATTCTCTTTCTCATTTTTTTTCTCTAATATTACACATAAATCCAAAAATTCTTCTTACTTTTTAACTACACATTCTTCCTATCAATCACTATTCTAAAATTTTTTCTTCTCCAAAATGGGTGTCAAACACACCCAAGTCACTCCACTTTTATCTACGGCGTCAGCTTTTTAGTTGGATATACAATTAAGAGTTGACAGAGAAGTTAAATGGATCGAGTCGAGCCCATAGGCTCGTCGAGTACCATTCGATCTATTACACTAGTTTGATCGCACTGGCAACGAATCAGCCTAGTTCGAGTGGCTTGTTTTCAAAAAATTTGGTTGGACTTGCTCCTTGGTACTGAATTGAGCTGAGTCGAGTCTACTCGAGAAATATTCGCTCCACGTATATCTTTTATTGAAAATTGCATTTTCACTTCGTAAGGAAATAATGAATGTAAAAAAAAAAAAAAAATAAAAATTATTTTGTCAAAAGAATTATAAAATTGTAAAAGTTCTCCTCCTTTATCCGAGTTCGTGATCTACGATAATATGTATCAAGGTTAAAATTGTACACGAATTAATGTCTCTTGTACAATTTAATAAACAAATGAAATATCTATCTACAATAATAAATCTAAAACTTAATGTAACAAAAAATTGGCGAAGATTATAATTGCTACAAGTTTTCAACAACTGTATTAATCATCTTTTATTGTATCCGATTATCTGCATCTTGCCAGTTCTTCAAATACATTAGAGTCCCAAATATATCTTCTTTCAACATGTTTCATTCATTTGGCAGAATCCTACCACGTAATCTAGACGCAACGACCAGTGCTATAGTCGACGCTAGAAGCATTAGTAGACACGTGCCATCAAATATAACATCAAATGTTCTTTTCCATTTGTTCGTCACTATTTAAGAATAACAAAATTATATGGCTCCTCTATTTAACACACTAAGAATGTGGTATGAAAAATATCTAGTTAACTTTGCAGGAATTTCATTTTCTTTGCAGGAATTTCGACCTCTCGGCCCTTGGTCTGTAGAGGTGGTGGGTTTGGTGTGGGTCTGGGCCCCAGGTGGGGCGGTGGCTGCGTCGCAGCCGGGTTGTTTGTGCTGAGGGTTTTGCTTTTTTCGTTGTTGGTTTGGAAGCTCTCCGTCCGTTTGGGGTCAGTTGGCGGGTGAAAGGTTGGGGCTGTTTTTGGCGGTTCGTGGGATGGTGGGTGCTTTTCTTTGTCTGTCCTGCTGTTGTGGTGGTGTTATTGGTTTGCGGTGGTGTGTGTGGCGGTGTTTATTTGGAGATGTGGGTTGATGTGGCGATTTCCTTTAGTTGATCGCCGGTTTGCGCTCATTTCCAGTGTTTTCAGTACTGGGCAGCCACCTTCCTTGGAGGGGGCGTGCGTTCTTGAGTATTGTATTCCCAGCCAGACACCATTTTGGTCTGCTTGTCATTGTGGGCAGGAGCTTGGTTTTGGTGTTTCTTTGTGTTGTGTTTGGTGGTTTTTTGGTCTGTTGGTGTGTTTGGCGGTGTATATTTGGAGGTCGATAGCTATGGGCAGCCACCTTTCTTGGCGGGGCAGGTGTGTTTGTGGTTTCTTTCCCAATCGGTTCCAATATTCGCCTGCAGTTCTTTGTGGACGGGAGTTTCTGGGCCATGTTTTGGGTGTGATTTTTGGTTTTTTCGTTTTTTTTGTTGTTGTTTGTCTTGTTTAGTCTCTTGCAAAGGGTACACTGAATCTCTCTTAGGAGAGCATAGTGTTGGGGGATTTTCCTCCATGTATCCATCATATTTGCTGTTGGTTGAATATATTGTTCATCTTTGCCTCAAAAAAAAAAAAAAAAGTAATCGTATTGAAATAGTTCTGTACATCGTCATCATGAAATGACCAAATTGTAGAGGCGGTGGTGGTGGATCATTATTTTTATTGTATTTGACAACATATTGAGAATATAAATTGGACAAAGTACTTTCTATATCACTAAGTACTTGTAAGGGGAGATATCAAATGTTAAATGCGAATTTAAATCATAATTTGAACCATATAAATATCGGAAAATTCCCTGAGTACAGGGAATTTTACCAGAAACTTACCAGAAAATGATTGTGGCCTTTGATTTTTTTTTCCCGCCTTTTTGTATAAATCCTGGCCTTTGATTTCAAAAATCTGGCAATTGTCTAGCAAATCTTTCTGTACCTATAGCACGGTTCATAAATATCATGCCGGGTGAGTTAGAATATGCACATACACTTGTAAATGCTTGTTTTCGAGATGGAACGATAGAAATAAGAGTAATAGCCTATCTAATTTTTGTGTACTGTGGTGCAATAAACTTAAGGCCATTTTACACAATTAAATTAAAAATATGACAAACAAAATGCATCTGAAAAAACTTTTTATTCAAATCTGGATGGAGTTTAATCATTAATTTTTCAATATCAATACTGTCAACATTAGCATTATCTAAAGTATACAACGAATTATATTCACAACAAATTTTTATGAGTATGCTCATTAAAACATTGAAAATATTCTGTGCATTGTGTGAAAATTCAATGACCTAAAATGTTATTGTTTTTTTTATGAGTAATCCTTAACTAATCAATGTTAATGTTTGATTCTTATTATTGTAGAATGAAAATGAAAAATATAGTCGTTATTGGGCCCCACACAAGAGATAGAAATTCAAAATTGATGGCTTGATGTGATAGATAACGGTCATATTTTTTCATTTTTATGGATGAAAAATGAGAAACAAACAGAGGCTTATGGTTTCTTCGGAGATCCGAAGTAAATGAAATGACACTGTTGTAATTACTTAAATAGTCAATAATTTGTGTAATTTGTACAAGTTTCATCAAGTGGACGCTTTCTAATTTCTATCGTGGATAGTCTCAACTCTACCGACTATGAAAATTACTCGTCTTTCTGTTTTGTTTCTGGTTTATAAACTCAGTTTACTAGAACTGCTCCATAAGGTCCAATCTTTTTCTAAACCAAATTGAAGTTGAACTTGCCTACTGTCGACTGCCCAAATACAAACAATGCATTTTTGTAATGCTTGTTGTATTGGATAGTGCCAATTATTTGCTTCCAAGTGAAGTCCTACACAGCAATTAGAATGTGCTTTCCTAATCCGCTCCTTGTTCTCAACTGTCTTTTTTTCTTGAAGAGTTTCCAATATTTAGAAGCAGGCTCACGAGCTTTTGCCTTCTTTTGTCTCTTTGTAGAGACCTCTTCTTTTAAGTGGTCACCATACTCGATGGTTGTTGATTTGTTAGTATTGATATTTTTTGGATTTGAAACATCGCGGGCTTGAGAAAAAAATTATAAATAGGAGTATTGGAACTACCAAACAATTGGTTAACATTTTCATCGGGGTTCATAAATCCAGTATAATCCATAACGAACTTCGAAGAAAGATTTTAGAATAAAAACTACAATTAATAGAAATAATTAGTACAAGAAAAGTTAGAATTAAAGAAATTTTTGAAACAAATGAGTAATCGTATCCTACTATATTAAAAAAGGCAGTTTTTGATTACTGTAGATGCAATAGTAACCAATGAGATGTTGCTGTTCATTTTTCCAGTTTTCACACCTTCAGTCCATAGTTCAGCTCGTGCCTGCAGCTCACCTCGAGAGCAAGTCGAGCCATCTCCCCCGCGTGCCCTAAGAGTTGATGAAGATTTTGAATATTGAAGAAATTGGATCATACACTATCAGTTAATTTTTATTGCAAAGATGGATATGCTCAGAGAATATGCCAAGATTGCTGGTTGGTTCTAAACTTCTAATCCTCCACAAACCACACAAGAATCATGCCAACTACACATAAACGTTGTGATAAGAGAATAGTAGGTTACTTTATCCCCAGGGCATATTCGCTTTTTTATGCATTATGCTCGAGGCCAAACATTAGTCAAAAAATTAGTGGTCACTTTAAAAGCTGAAAGATTATTAATTCTTTCTGAGCACGTAAGCTTTATTTGATCAGACTGCATAAAATCCAACACATGCCATTAAGCTGGCACCATCAATTTACACATTTTTCATGTCATTCATAATATTCGCTTTGTTTTGCTTTTCCTGAAATTATTTCAAGTGAGCTCAGTAACATTCTACAGAGATTTGAGTTAATAAAATTAGAACATTACAAATCCTTTTTGCAGCAATCTTCGGAATATTGGGGCTAAGAACTATTAATTCACAAAAATATTTGGAAAAAGAATCCATCAACTGGAATCACCCATACAACATTGCCATCACAGTTGATAAATATTAGAGACAAACCGATGGGTATTATTTCGGTTCAAGTGAAGCAATTTCTTTGACGACCAGGGCCTTATCAGCCTCAAACTGTTCGTCCTCTGTATCAAGAAGAACCAAGATTTAGAAAATTGTTAAAAATATGAATATAGTAATTATAGGAATGCATTATTTACTCTTGTACCTTTCTCAGTTTTAAAATCAGCAAAGAGACGTACAAGTTTGCTACTATTTGTCACAAGGATGCTAACAATATCTGGGGGCTTGTTCTGATTGGCTGCAAATAACTGCAATTTTTCGTGTGGTCAGAATAAAATGTACAGTAGCCTATATCAATCACCAATGCAAGTTTTACCAAGTATTGGCCGTACCTTAAAAACGTGGAAGGCTTCAATCTGAATACTCTTGCTCGACTCCTGGCAGAAGGCAGAATAAACCATTTAACAAATAAGACAGTACTAAAACTCGAGATAAAATCTGTTTTCACATCTTTTACGGTCTTCCAAGTGTAACCATTACAAATACTGAAAGAAATGACAGGATTTTTTCTGGTTGTAAATGCATCTCAAGTTCTAGGGCTTTTTTTGCACTGTAAAATGTTTGTTTTAGGTATATTCCTTCACTTTTCATCTACTATCTTTTTTCCCTGTTCCTCCACACTTGGCAGTGGAGGAGGATGGGGGAGAAGGCTGGGCATTTGAATCTAGAACCAAGAAGGGAATCATACTCTCAGAAGATTCATAAGGATCCTCAAGTTGTCCCGTGAACTAACATATCGAGTCATGACAGCTGAATTTGGACGGTCCAGCAAGATTTCTCCCAACAGCTGCAAGAAGGAATAGCACAAACTGAATCAAAATGGCATCCCATTAAAAGTACGAACCCTACATTATTGATCCACCATATTGTAG